TATCTTGCATTGTACCTTGTGTCCTTGGAGATAATGCCAGTTAGTTCAGTGTAGTCTACTACTATTGTGACTGTTTCATCATTCAAAACTCTGTGCTTATTTTTAATTATTCATAAACTACCAGGTAGTACATGTGGGTAAAAAAAATTTTTAAAAACAAAAGCTAAAAAATACCAGGCTGAAGGAAGGTTGTTAGACTGATCCTTGAAGAATGCTTGTAGGCTACACCTAATGTAAGATTTTTTATTAACAACTTTGGAGAAAAAGAAAAAGCTGGTATTTGTTAACAATCCAAAACGGAGAGATACTGTCCCATATCAATATACAAGGCACAATAGAGTGACATAGTGAAAAGACTGGATTAAGAGAGATGATGATATTTAAAATAACAAGGACAAGAACATGCAAATAAAGTTCAGGAAAAAGGTGTTATGAATTCCTATAAGCCACAGAAAAAAGCTTCTGTTGACAATGAGAGAGGGACAATAGCACATGCATTATTACTGAGATCACAAATCAAAACCACAGTGTCACAAGGAAAAAGAGGTAAGGGAGATCCTACAGTTTTTCTCTCTCAAATGAAACACCTTCAGTTGTGAAAAGAGAGGAATAATACCACTGCACAAGGCACTAGCAAATTTACCACGGGGAAAAAAAAGAAAAGGATGCCATTGCGATGAAGTTAAAAATAAAATAAATCCATTTGAACAGGAACAAGCACACAAAATAATTATTATGCTAAAACAGGAACATTGAAGAGTTTCATGCAAGAGAAGAGTTTGACTGAAGCAGCTTAGTAATACAAAAGAATTGTAAAATGCATTGAGTGCATCCTACAAATACATGACGTGTAAGCACAAGAGACAGGAGGACTTTTTTCACCCCCAAAAGTCAGCATGGGCACAAGAATAAAAGGACATAAAATTGGCCATGAACAGACTAATGCAGAAATCATAAGACCTCTCTTAACTATTAGAGGAGTCATTCTACAACTGGTTTTCAGTAGGAGTAAATAATTCCAGTATAATCGTCTGCTAGACTAATTAGTATAGCTTGATAAACACTGCTGCACTGAGAACCACTGAAGTGGAGGGAAAAAAATAAATTGTTCTGCTATATATAAGCATAAATAAAGTGAGTTTAAATTGTCAATTTTTCTTCTCTTAAACACACCATTTAATCACACATATGTAAACCATGACAAATATGGTACTTAAATTACATACCAGAGCAACCACAGTTAAAAGTTCCCACCTAACTGATGATTTCTAAAGCAACCTCCCCAATATTTCCTCAACAAAAAAAAAAAAAATGTCAACAGGAACCAGAGCTATGAACAGAACAAAAACACTAGAGCTACACTGAATAGAAACTGCAGACACATCCACTCTCAGCTCAAATTGAATCCATACTGCTTCTTGTGGGCAATACTGTCTGCTCCAGCCATCTGTTTTGAATGAACCTGGGAATAAAAGATCTTGGCAACACCCAAAACTTCAGTTAAACAAATAATTCTCTTCCCCCTTGCTGTGTTTAAATGAGATATGCTCCTAAACCCTCCAAATCCCTGGCTGAGCAGCTCACAGACACAACAGGCACCAGACTACGGGCTTGCCTTTGGCAGTAGCAGGATCTTTCTGGCCTCATCCAGCTGCACCCAGCAGTGCCACGTTCAGCCAGATGAGTGGCATGCACACAACTCCACATACCAACAAACCAAACATTTTTGCTGGCTCGCTCCTCCAGCTGTGCTAACTCCATTTGGATGTAACACAACAATTCAGCCAGAAAACTTACTGATGGGGTCCCATTCCCAAGCTGTCCCTTCTTCTCAGTGGGTGGAGCAGTCACACCATCCTATCCTATGGTACCATACCTCCACCCAGACCTAAAAAGCAGTACAAGTAGGGAGGTGAGCCATAGCTTAGGGAGCCTTGCTCTGTCACTTCCCCAAAAAGCTGCCACTAATGCTCCCATCTGTCACATTCTACATTTTTCAATCAATGACATTGATCTGTGGCTGGTTTGGTTCATCTGCTGACCAAAAAGAAAAAAAAAAAAAAGAAAAACCAAAAAAAATCGGTCAGCATCAAGGTACATGAGCAGTTGTTTAGTGTAATTAAATGCCTGTGGGCAGGGGGAAGGAAGCATTCACAGGGACACAGCAGAGGGCAGAGAAGGTATTTCTAAATTGTCCTAAATCACCACCAATTACTGGCATCGACAGGACACACTCTAAAATGAGGACATGACCTTGTGGCATATCTGTTGCCATGAAAGGGGAAAACATGTAGATTATAATGCAAACAGATCAAGAGACGAGCATCAGCAACAAAACTAAAGGAAAAATGTTGGCTAATCAAACTGCTGGCATACAACAAAAAATGATCGCTAATTTTCCTTCTGAAGACCTAGAGAATATACAATATTTCTCTGCTTCCCCAAAAAATAATTAGAGGGCTTTAAACTGAAATGTGCTGTACCCTGCAGTGTTAACAGAAGGGCAGTACTTACTTACCTGAGTAAATTTCTTTATGGATACAGTCTGCCTGCCTGATTCTCTCTCTCTCACATATAAACACACAATATTTCACTGAAATTAGGCCAATAATTTTATCCACTGTGCTTTGAATTTTATAAATGTACAATTCAAGCATGATATAGGAGGGTAGTGGGAATAAAAGGGGAAAAAAATAGCATCAGCAACAAGTTTTCTGACAATAAAGCCTTGTATTACTCAATATAAAGATTTCTACTGCATAAAAGATTCAAGCTACCTAACTTGGGTTCTTGTTGACGCACCCAAACTGGAAGGGATGCCTCAAGCTCTCTTAAAACTGATGTGAAGGGGAAAGGGGCATATTCAGATCAGCAACTCTGATCAGGTATCCCCTTCCCCACTGACTATCAAAAGAAACGTAAGCACATGTTTCTAACTTCAGCACCTCAGAGGGATGCCTGTATTGGATGTGCTGAACCCAGGCCAAAGTCTGTAACTAGACTCTTGTTACAGGGTAGTGAAAATATATCTATAAACAGGGTAGTAAAAATATGTCTATAACAAGTAAATGTACATCTCTTTTTATACACAGTAATTGCTTTTCACATTATGAGTTTCTTCTCATCACCAATGCTACTGGTGTCAGATAAATTCAACAACTAAGAAGGAAAAACAAGAGCAACTTCAGTCATTTAGGTATCAGCAAAGTGTAAAGGAAGTATATACAAGAACTAAAGGTTTTATGACAAACTAAGGTAAGTTCCCTACCAAAAACAATGAATAAAAAATTCTGAATCTACTCCCTTGCCCCACATAAAAACATATAAGACTATCAAAAAGATTAACATAAAAAATTGCCACACATCACTTTGCAAAGAAACTTGCCTTTTACTGAGGGCATTGTCCCCCACACAGTGGTGTCAATGGAAAGACATCCACTCATGCCAGCCAGCAGCAGGTCACGCGGCAGACAGCAGCCCTCAAGCCTCCTACCTGTTTGCACAGCTTATAGCTCTCAAGGTTGAGCAAAAGCAACAGACAGTTGATTTCTTTAGACTATTTATATAGCTTGAAAGTAAACTTCAAGGCTGCAAAACCTCAAATACTTGCAGACTGATTCAACAAGTCATAGCACTCCTTGCCTGTGTCTACTCTTTCAGACTGCAAAGTCCAACCACTCTGCTCATATGGAAGGAAAACCTGAGTTCCTACATGGTGTATTCAGCATAACAGATAATTTCTTACAGTCGCTCAAAAGCATTAAAAGACTCCCTCAGCCTTTTTCCTTCTTTTTCAATGTCTTCCCCTCTGTTCAGTAAGGCACCAAAAATTATATACTTCTCTGTTTTTGTTTAAGATTAAACAAACAAACAAAAAAATGAAACAGAAATGAAAGTATCAACTTCAATGTCCTTCACCAGTGCTTAGATGACACTGTAGTATTGAATTCAGCCTCCAACCATTTGGGATAAAGATCTGTTCAAAAGCAAATTAGTCTTCCATTTTGAGTATGGCTTTACATTAAAGGGCGTAGCTGTGGTCAGTCCTCTGCAATGCTAACAGAAATCCACAATGAAACCATTCTTCCTCTACAATTAAATCCCAGGAAAGAACATTCCCAAATCTATTTCATAGGAGTATAAAATATAGCTGTGCCTGTCTGCTTCTGGTTTTAAACATGGTGCAAAATGTGTTTTGTAAACACTTCCTGCAAAACCCAGAGATCCAGGCAAGGGAATCTAGACAGCTACTAAATTGACCAGATGTAGATATTGTCTACAGTTTAGGGTGTGCTGAATTTCCCTCTAGACTCTTTTGACCAGTCTGGCTAGACCACCATTGACTATAACAGAGGTTTGACAAGAACTTCTCATATAGACACAGACAGGGATTTTGGCATTTGTTTGCTTTGTTGCAAAATCACGACGTGTAAAGTGCCCAAGGTATCCCCACTCAGAAGCAGGGGACAGCAGAAACTACCATGCCTAGCAGAAACTACCACCACCTTGCCAAATACCTCTGAAGAAAGCTCATGCTGCTTCTTGCCAAGGCACTGGGAATTCCTATGTTAAGCTCAGTGCTCAAACTGTGCACATGTCCCATCTTCGCTCGGCTCCGTGACCGCTGCTTCACCTGTGTCTCATATTGTATTCCTGCAACCAGAACTGCCAAACCCAGACACCTTTGCCAAGTCCTGTTCCCCAGCATCATACTCATATAGGAAGACACCTACCTAACACGTGTAAGTAGGGAGTGAGGAATAAGGCTGAAAATTAACATACACATAAACCACTGCATCAAGACTAAAGTCTGACTACAAAACAGACAAGTTTTGCCTGTGTGTTGTGTCTTTGCCCTGTGTTTCCAGCACCCCAGAAAACCTTCAGTCTATGCAAGTCCATTTTGACATCTAAAACCTCTTAAAATGAAGAAGGATGCAAAGATAAAATACAAGCCAAGCTCCAATATATGAATACAGCTATATGTGTTTTTAGCATACCGGGCAATATTCTTCCAATAAGAGCATCTAGCAACCAAAAGGACTCCTCTTCATTCTTTGTAATAAGAATCAGGTATCCAGCTATGAAGTTCATGCCCTGAAATAGAAAGAAGAGTTTTAAGATGCATACATTTTTCTTAAGAGTTTCTGGTTTATTTCTTTTGATTAAGGGCTAAATTACTACAGTTCTACAAAGTGGCCATGTTAAACAAAATCTAGTAATACAGGTTACCAGTTGAGTAAGCTGTTAAACCAGCATGACAACAGCTAACAAGAATTATTAACAAAGATCAAGGAGAGTTAAATTAGAAGAAAAAGCTTAGTACTCTATAATTTACCTTCGATTTTCCTTTTAAAAAAAAAAAAAAAATCCCAGACCCCTGTCCCAATGTAAATGAAGACTGCTTTGACCAGAACCAAAATACAGCTGTCTTGGCTGTGCAGTACAAACACAACACACCTGCAGGTAGGCAGTGCGCCTGCAGAAGAAGAATGCCTGACCCACACACTCTTTAGTAAAAAGCTGCAGCTCCAGCAGCTTTTACAAGCTATTGCTGCTTAACTCATCAAATGCTTGCATGAACATCATTTGCTTCCATAATACCTCTCGTACTCTACAAGCTAGTCGATGACTGGCCAATATAACTCCTGCCTTTCAACATGCAAACAGAAGGTAAACACCAGGGGGTGGGGGGATTGGAAGAGCTACTGGAAAATTTGTGAAAAGTAGTCAAGTCATCACTGGCCGAATTCCAACTCTGCAATTTTCGTAACCGTTACTGATGCTCTCTGACTGGAGAAGTGACATACAGAACACACTTGGTTACAAACTGATATTCCCTGTAAACACATTGCCTCTGTCTCAGGCACTTTTTTCTTGTACCCACCGTAACACTGCTAAGTTTTGGCAGTATTACTGATTTACATGCACAGTAGTCCACTTTCTTAAGCATTTTTTAAAGTATGTCTTTTCCATAGTAAACAAGCTGACAACTATAATAACATAGGCAGCACATCAGTGGGACAACATACAAAAGCTGCCTCTGAGGTGCAAGCACCTCCGAAGTCTTCCTAAGCTAACAGAAAGCTATCTTTAAATATTTACAGGCTACGAAGGCTGCTGTTGGTTATATTGCCCTCTTCAGTTCCATCCCTTTCTTTGGCCTTCTCCATGTTCTCTGTCCCTCCAAGCTGGACTTCTTCAGCACATTTATGGCCACAGGCAGCACCACTGTTTCTGGGCATCCTGCAGTGCTGCCAATTACAGCTGTGAGCCAGAGGACAGCTACCAAAAAGAACATCCCTTGCAGCCTCTGGAAGGTACAGCTTCCTCTCTGCACTGAGATCTCATTTCTTGCATTCAACAGATTTGAGTCACCCATCCTATCTCAGAAGGCCTTGCAACACTCCCACAGCATGGAAATATTAGGACACTACATCATCTCCAATGTTTCATTTTCAAGCTTGGTGTCACTACAGCAGTTGTTATAAAAATGGCTTGGATAGACTTTACATGATGCTTGGCCTTCTGGTTAGGAAGGCAACTATTTGTTTCCATGCTGACAGTTAGCTTAGTAACTGCATCTATGGTGACAAGAGACTGTTTGGCTTTTAACATAGCATGCACAAAAACCCACTCTGGAGTTTATGTTCACAGGACACTGAATTTTGCAGGTTTTACCAGGGTAGGCAGCACCGTACCACTGTCACAGCATGACAAGGCAAAGCCTACTACACTCACAGACGGGAGACTTACATGCCAGTAAGTACCACAAATGCACTAGCATTATGAAAACATTCCCTGAAGAGCCTTCAGTCAGTAAAAGCTCTGCAAAACACTTGAAAGAAACTCTCCATTTTTCACTCTGAGTTTTCTAGTGTTTAGAGGGTCTCTCCTATCATGCAGTATTGCATCGCTGTATCTATCTTGACGAAGTCTGCTGCTTCACTAGCAGTAGAGGTCCTGAAACTTTTCTTGATTTACGACATGCCTTGGAAAGCAGATGTTGACCTTTGGTTTATGTTCTAATTATTTAGCCAGGAAAGATAACATTCATCCTGTGAGGAGACCAGAGGTGAAAAGAAATCATGTAAGGCTTTTTAAGTTGTCTTCTTCCCTCTCCAGCGTTCACAATGCCAAGTTAAAATGCAAAGATTATCACACTGATCAAACAGTTAATATACCAAAACTTTTTGGTAATAAATGGACATGCATTTTGGGTAGAAGCTAGCATGGTTTAGAAGTTGTGTGTGTTTGTGGGTATAACTGCCTCTAAATAGGAGCCTGACACTTGCGAAAGAGAGTATTCATAATTCTACTCCTTCTTTTATTCTCATAATATTAAAAGTTATATTTTAATAAATATATAGTACTGAAAATAATAAAAGTCATTCATATTTTACTCCCATTATTCAAGTAACTTCTTTATTAAAGCTGGTTTGGATACACAAAAAGAATTTTTTTTTAGTGACTCCAGTCTGGGTTTAAGTCCCTCTAAGTCTTCTCCTCTCCAGTTTTCAATAAATAATTCATGTTATTTTAACTTTGGAACAGTTGCATTTACTGTACTAACTTCCTCAACTAACATGAGGTATATGTTAGCACACCTATCCTTGGTGAGAAAAGAGAGGAGAGATGAGAGGACTTAAGTGAACTGAAAATGTATTTTGCTCATGACAGTCTTGCTCCTTTATGATCCTTAATGATGGCCTCTCTGTACTTGACTGTCATGAATCAACTTTTATCTTCTTTGTGTCCCACAGGAAGCTTTACAGTACTTGGCAGTGCTGACAGACGGTTTTTTGAGCTGCCATCTAAGCAGTAGCAGGTTGAATTTCAAACATTTTCTTCCTACTTGCATGTCTATACTGGGAGATGGCACCAAATAAATGCTACCACCCCCACAGCTACGTGATGTCGCATGAACACTGATCTTCCTGCATTTTGAAAAATGTGATCATGAAAACAAAGGAAACCAAGATCTCATGATGATCCTTGCACATACCAAGGACTGTTTTGGGAAAGGTGGCAGGAAGGAGGAAGAGGGAAAGGCAAGCTCACTTTCTCTGCAAAGCAACTAATCTTGATACAACCATGTGTGAGAAAACATTTATTTTGCAGCTAAGGAATGGAACCAAACACAATCAAGTAAGCTACAAAAAAGGCTGTGGAGAAACTCACAAGGACATTTGAACTTGCCTGAAGCAATTAATTTTTTCCTTTCCCGGGGCCGTTTTAAAAACAGGAAGTTTGTGGATCTGCTTCTAAAAGCACACATTCAAGCGGACAAGAACAATTGCCGTTGGTGAAATTCAGTGTTGTTTAAAAAACAGTGATTACATACCTGACAATATCCTACTGCTTTATTATGGTGCCCATACGCTACCAATACATTGTAGAGTGTATGCTGCAAACAGGGATCAGCAGTTTTGCGGAATTTTACATTATCTGGAAATGTTCTGTTCATGTCTGGACGAAAATGAAAAAAAGACCAAAATTAAGAGCCGTTCCCTCCTTCACGTTCCAAACAAACTTTTACAGCTTTTCTGAAGTACAAATGAAACTTCACTATGTCTCACTAAAACTGTAGTTTTGGTGGATGAATTTTAAGAAACAGCTTTACGTCCATTTTGGCTAAAAGGCTATCTGCATTCAAGGATAATTTATTCCTAGAAAGATTAATCCTATTAGTGTACAGAAATCAGTTTCAAGCAGGACTAAAGAAATTCTCCTGCAGATTGGACTCTCAACACGTGACTGCAAAGTCTTAAATGAAAGCAAACCAGACATTTAGACTGACAGAAACAACACATACCAAATGTATCTAACCAAGTGGCATGAAATAAGCTGTGCCTCTAGGAAAGCACAGTCTCGTAACAAATCTGATGAACTTTCAACTGACTTATTCAGTTAACTTCTACCAAACAGTCCCAAACAGCTAAAAAGAAAGTCTTGTTCCTGCAGCTGGTGACTTCCACTTAAAATCATGGTATTTTAAAAATTTTCTTAAGTTTCTCCATTAAGTGATCATGAGAAAAGTTGTTGCTTCATTGGTGCAAGATCACTGAGTGATTTTTGATATGCAAGCAGCAGAGCACACCCCCACGTACTTGAAGCTGAGTCCTAAACCAAGTAAGGACTATGCAATTACTGACATTTCAAAACATTCATTTCTTCCAGACCAAACATGAATAGTAGGACTCATCTCTCCTTACAAAGGTCTAAAAATTAGACATGCAAGTTTGAGCTAGTCACCCAAAACTGCCTTTAGTTGTTGGAAGGAAACAAGCAGCGTTAATTTTTGGCCTGCTTCACTCTATAAAGAGGGAACCCAAGGTCACTAGTCCAGACTTGTGCAGCTGATTTTTAGAAGTTTAAGTTGGGGAGAAAAATCCTATCCAAAAGTAACTTTTAAGATTTTCAAAATCCAAAACTTATTCATAAATTATGAACAGTTGTTTTGGTTATATTTAACAACAACAAAAAAAATCGGTTTGAAGTTAAAAAAAATTAGATTCCATAAGAGCACTGCTGTATAGATACTTATATCCTAAGAGTTATCACTTCTTATCAGTTTTTCCTGCATAAAGGAAAACAGATATAAAGCTGTTTGTTACAGCTTTGACACAAAGCTGAGCTGTAAGCAACCAAAGGAAGAAAGCCCCTCAAAATCATGATTACTGTCATGGAAATCACAAACATTTAAACGTTATCATACTAATCACTATTTCTTCCTTTTAAAAGTGAACAAATCATTTACAGAAATGGGAGGACAGGAAAATATTTCACTTCACCTCTCATGTGACTGAAAAGAAAAACACAAGGAAAAAGACAATTTTTAAAAGGACTTGAGCAACAGCCAGTTATAGAATACCTTTGTGGTTTTTTTTTTTTCTTCTTGGTAAGAAGAGCAGCATAGTATTTGCATAATCAGAATTTGTTGTTTATTAAAGTATATGCTGGATGTTAGAGAAAAGATTAATGTTGATATTTCAGTTATGGCTCTTCCCATCAGCTATTTAGAATAAAGGTGAGGGGGCAGTAGGAAAAGTCCATCATGTACAGAGCAGACACTACTGAAACTGAACTCACTTTTAATTTCACAATTTGGCTTGCAGTTGAAAGAATCAGCTCCAATTTGCTTTCTGATTGCAGAGCATGTTTTTCCCCACAAGGATTGGGGGAAGTCTTCCCTAATTTTATGAAGGATATTAAAGTTTATTTATTTATAGTATTTTAGCTGGGGGAGTGGGGGGCACAGAACAAAAACAAGAGCTAGAAGTCTTTACCCTTAATAAAAGATATGGGGCATGGTCTCAGAGGACTCCTTGTGCCAGATTATCATCTTGAGCACACCAAGAGCAGGGTATCCTGCTTCCTCTCCATCCTCCCCTTTCTGCTCCATTTGCATGCTCTCCCTTTTCCTCCAGCTCTGAGGCTCCTCTGCTTGCAAGGTGAGGGAAGCCAACCTGCACCGCAAGCTCACACAAACTGATATGTTTTACCACACTACAAGACAACTGCCAGAGATGACTTGCAGCAAATGGCAGGAGCAGGTGAGAGATGTTGATTTGACTTGAGCACTTAGCCCCACTTTACTACACCTGTCCCAGAGGAGAGGTCTTAACACCTCCTTCTCCCCCTCCACACAGCCCACCCTCTGACCTGCTATCCATTAATCTACATCATTCTTGATAGACATTAGTATCCAAAGGAACACAGCCTCAAACTGGTCCAGTTTGAAGAAAAAAAAAAAACACATCAGAACTGTTTTCAAGCAGGGAAATGATCATTAGAACTTTGTACTGCTAGGTAAACCCCAAAACAATGACCAACTTGTGGTTGTGTGCAAATCCGCTGGCTATAACCAAACTAGGTATAGGAGCATGGGACCATGAAGAAGGCCACAAAGAAAAGACTAGCTACTACTTTGCAGTAAATTCAGATTAAATACCAATACTTTTTTTTTTTAGATGATCTTTCAGTGCTGTGAGGTGGCAGTGTTATGCTGCTGTGAAACAAAACCAAGAGCTTTCTTTTTTCTGTTGATTCATCTCTCTGCAGCAACCATGAGAAGACCATTGGCTTGTTTCTGCAACATTTCTACCGCTTATTCAATAATACAAACATAGGCAGAAAGCCACACTAGCCTCAGTTTATAAAACAGACATTTATTTATGTACCTGGAATAACAATTGCTGATGCTATTTGTGGAGCAAAGAGATTTAAATGTGCAGTCCAGAAAACTGTTTTTGTATCAGTTTTGTGCTTTTCATATTTAGGGTACTTCAAAAGTCAGGCACCTGCTGTTAACCTTGTTATCCCACCCTTTCCCACCCTTTCTGTTCTTACCTTCATATCCAGGTGCTTCCCACTCACAGACACACTGCCCAGTAAATTACACAAGTATTTTTACAACTAACATCATCTACTCCACTTTTGGTCACTTCTTTGCTACTGCTACATCTGTAACTTGCATCTGCTCTGAATAGCTTCCAGACAGGTACTTTTTTTTTTTTTTTTTTTTTTACTTAGTAAAGAGCAGAACAAAACACCTCAACTGCCAACTACAAGCATTCAACAACTGCACTGTGAACCTCCAGAATAATGAGGTTAGTTCATCAGTTACAATTTCTAAAAATAATATACTTAAAGGGTATTTTAAATTTATTATAATTGGATATTTAGGACTCATCTTCAAGCTTTTCCCTGCAACACCTGGAAGTAGAAATTGTTTTGGAGGTTTAGGCGTTTTTGGTTTGTTTTTTTTTAAGTTAAGGTCAAGTTTGGTATCAACTAGAACTAGAGAAACTGGGTCTGACAACCTCCACCACCAGCACCAAGTAACAGTTCAATAGCTTGCAGCAATCAAGAAAGCAAACAGGGTTAGGATTTCCTAAAAAAGAACAATGCCACCATATAAATCTGAGAAGCACCCACATAAATTCCAGCTCCCCTTATCTCCAAAAGGTGGTATCAGAATTGGAGAAATTGCAGAAGAGAATAGAAAAAAGGAAGATCACAGGTATGAAACGGCTACCATACATAGCATAAAGCAAGGTGAATTATTGCTCCTTAGTTTGGAGGGAGATGCTTATGAGCAAGACAGCACAAACCTGCAAAGTCACGATCAAGGTGAAGGACATGAAAAAGGAGCAACCAGAGGGATTTTCTGTGAATATTTTTCCCCATCCAGTGTTACTAACTACAAACATGCGGCATATGACTCAGGAACTCGCCAAACCACAGATAACTGGAGATGAGGAAAAACATTCTGAGGAAGCGTCACTACACACTTTACCCCTTCAGTTCTTCCTTTAGCTGTTCTGGTAGACAGAAGACCAGACGAGAAAGCTGTTTGGATAGGACCTGATACAGCTTCTCTTACAGAGGGCCAGAAGAGCTGACACTGCTGTTCCCCTTGCTCTTGCATGGTTAAATGCCCTAAGCTCACACAAAAATTCCCAGGCTTCACTAATAGTTTAACCCTATTCAGAGAAGCTTATTAGTACTTTGATAGTAAAATATTCACTGTCTCTAGTGAAGTGGCAATGGCTACTGTTTGAATTACTCTTCTGAACCCATCACCAGCTAAACTAAGAACTACTAGTCAATCCATGCAGCCAGTTCCTTATACCAGCAGTGACGAGGCGCAGCGGAGGTTCAGGGGACTGGCAGGTAAATATCAGACCCTGGGCACAGCACCTACAACTCTTCCTCATGAAATGCAAAGGTGGAAACATGGATATTAGCCGCATGTGCACATGAGAGGACTTGCAGACATAGACATACTTACTCTGAAATTCAATGGCTAAGTAAGCTAAGAGGGAGCTTCCTGCAAGGAAGCTACATAAACTTACACTCCAGCCTTTTTGTAACCAGCACGTAGCCTTTGCATTAGGAGGACAGCCACATTTTATCCTGACAACATCAGTTGTCCTGCTAAACTTTACTATAATAGGGCATGAACAACGAAGCTTAGTACGAATGCATACCTTTCTAAATGTGTATGTAAACTAAACCATGAAAACTTCAATCAAAATTTAGAGACCTGCATTCTTTAAGCTCACTCTTTCATGTTTAGAGCAAGAAGTCTGCTCTCTCTTATATTTATCTTAAAAAATAAAAGTTCGAATGGCAAGTGTTGTATAAAACAAGAATCAGCAAACTAAAGGGCAAAAATGGCGAAAGGACAGTTTAGATTTATTTAGCTGAACAACTTTTATTACTGTTACTAATCAGGTTTTTCTTTAAAGACTAGACCATTTCTCCACACAATCTACCTGCACCTTTTAACCATATTGAAAAGTTCCAAATGTACATGAAAATTGTTTGGAGCTTCTGGGCACGTAAAAGAAACAGGACACATTGACTCTTACACATGTTTTAAATTGAATTTGAAATAAAGTGTTTGGTTGGCCTCGTCTTCCCCCTGACAAAAAGAAAGTGTGATTGCTCTTCTCTTGGTTTTGAACTGCAGCATCACCCTGGACTATAACTTTACAGATAGACTGCAGGACTAAATACAGTACAGTTGCCTGAAAATTTTGGAAACTGCAGACATGAAAAGTGAATGGCAGCAAGATTCTACATCGTACTTTAGTTTGCTGTTAAAAGCAACTACAGTGATCAGAAAACAACACAGGCAGAAACAAACTGAACATCAGATGACAATTCACACTGAAACAGTCCTCAACTAAAGCCCACTATAAAATTTGGAGTCAACAGGATCACTAAGTTTATTAAAGACAACATTCCCATTCACCTTAAGTACTTCCATCTTTCATATGCTCACATCGTTTCTTCCTTTCTGAAGGGAAATCTATCACTCTGGAGTCCAAGGTCCTCTTTTTTTTTTTCCCCCTTCCAATAAAACCCGCCAACCCATTTTTCTTTATCCCTTCCCTCACTTGCTCTTTGTTAAGTTTTCTCTTCTGCAGTTTTCCAATTGACGCAGTAGCTCTTCCAAAATTTTATTTCCCCCATAATTCACAAATGGATCTTATCTTCTTCCAAATGGATCTTATCTTCTTCCATTACCCCCCCCCCCCCCCCCCCAAGTATTTTTATTTCATCGTATAACCTGTGTGAAAAGCCACCTACTGTCATGATATGACCCTTCATGCAATTGTCTACTGCTGGAAAAGAAATTGTTTGCAACCCCCTCTTACAGCAGTTGTACCCCAACTGAACACAGTTTGATCCTTCTCCAGGCCCTTACCAAGGCTGGCTTTCAAAAGTCATCCAAGCAGTTCCCTCTGTATTCATAGCTAGAGCTCTACTGTTTCTAGTTCTGAGCAAGATATGAGCCTGAAGATTTCTGTCTAGTCTTCATATTCGTAAGAATACGAAAGTTTATGCTCCAAAATGCCTTACTAAGGCATGTAGTCCCAAAAGCCCACAGTGCTGCTGCTGCAGGGAGAGGCAGAGGAGAAATTCAGCATAAACTGCAAAGTATTCGGATGGTTATCCAGCTCAAAGAAAAAAATCCATAAAGCCCCAACTTTAACTACCTGGCTTTTTTGTCAAGAGGAAAAAGATGACAACTGCATCTGCCACTCTAAAAAAACAACCTCAGCATTGTGCTTGTCCAGAGCACAGCCCAACCCCTTCCCTCATTAACTGGGCAATTTCAGACAGTATCAGCTTCTCTGCAAAAGCTCTACTCTAGCAGGTTGAAAAGTTTCAGGACAAATATCAGTTACATCAAACTTCTACTTGCCTGTCTTCCCCTGCTGCCTTTTTCAAACACCCAGTGGGCCAGTCTAAGGCCTGGCTGCCCTGATAACCTGTCACCGATATCAGCCACTATCGGTTCACAGAGCATATGGAACTGGGTTAGTAGAGGAAGGGTATTTCTCCTCCAACCCTTCCCTTCTTCCAGCGATTTACATTTAGCATTTAGGACTTCATGCATCAAGGCATTATTTCCCCACCCCTCAGTTTGACAAATTCCTTTTTAAAGCAGTCCATACGTCTGGTCTCAGCAGCACCCTCCAGTAACAAGTGCCACAATTCAGAGATATACTCTTCTAAATCTGCAGTATGGCAAATTCCATTCAGTGAAAATAATTTCTTATGTTACAAGAACCAAATAACAATTGCTCCCCATTCACCCTCTCTACACCATTTATAATTCATAGAGCTCTATCAGCAGCTTTTTCTCAGCACTCTTTTTCCTCAAGCTGAAATGCTAGAATACTTCGTAATACCTCATACGGGCGCTGTACCATATCTTCAACCACCCCTGCTGCTCTTCCAGTGTTCTGTTGGAACAGAAGCAAGGAGAAACAGACCCAAAGGTAGGTCTCATGGTACAAAGTTGTAACTCTTCAGTCACTTAGGAGACAACTTAATAATGTTTTCTAGTTTGTTCTCTGCTCCTTCCCAAATAATTTCTAACCTTCCTTAATGCTTTTGACCACATAATGAACCTGGAAAGATCTGTGCTGTTAAAGAGCTTATGGCTAATCTAATTTACATGTTAATTCAGCACTTAAACCACTACTACAGAAATGTAAGTTTTCCATGACATAACTTGATCTCTAACATTTAAGGACATAGGACAGATAAACACAGATAGACCGTGTTATCAAGACAATAACCTGTTTTGATTGCTTCAACCAGTTTGTCATTCTTCTCTCCTTCAAGCAGTCTGTGGTAATATCCAGGGTTTTGTTCCATGTTGGTTTGGGCCCCACTCACAATCATCCAGATCAATGCACGGTGTTCGTTGGGGATGCCTTTTCTGATATATCTCTTCACTGCAAAACAAAAAGGTTGATGTATTTTTTAAAAATAAATTTTAAAAAATTAAAATCCAGCTACATTTTTCATTTGGAAGTGAACAACAGAAAGCTGAGAAGTCATAGGAAAACTGTTGACTAGAAATTATTATGCTTTCTCTCCTATGCTACCACTTGGGATAAGCTTTTCCTTCTCAGCTACACAGTATATTTTAGACTCACTCCTAAGTTGTTTCTACTCAGACTTCCCACACAGATCTCCAGACCCAGGCTTTCCTCCCTCCTCTATTCCTCCATTAGGATTTTCAATCCCTTCCTCTTCTTCCCACCTTTCCAGAGGAAGATATGAACAGCAATGTTTCCCCTTGATGTTTGCCCTTTTTCATTCAGATGAGCACTGCTTTTTCCTTTCCCAACATCACTAATGGTCTCTGACATGATAGCCCTTTCCATTTGCTTAGTTATGCTTTAGCATAAATGGCTACCTTAACATAACCCTAGGATTTCAGCTTAGCACCTAATCACTGAAATCATGGAAGAAACTAAGTAGTATGAAATATCACAGAAACATATAATCTTGGAGTTGGAAGGGACCTTTAAAGGTCATCTAGTCCAACCCCCCTGCAGTAAGCAGGGACATCTTCAACTAGATCAGGTTGCTCAGAGCCTCATCCAACCTGACCTGAAATATTGCCAGGGATGGGGCACCTACCACCTCTCTGAGCAACCTGGGCCAGTGTTTCATGACCTCACTGTGAAAAATGTCTTTCTTCTATCTAGTCTAAATCTATCCTCTTTTAGTTTAAAGCCATTGCCCCTTGTCCTATCACTACAGGCCCTGCAAGAAGTCTCTCCCCATCTTTCTCAGAAGCCCCCTTTAAGTACTGGAAGGCTGCAGTAAGGTCTCCCTGGAACCATCTCTTCTCCAGGCTGAACCACCCCAACTCTCTCAGCCTGTCCTCACAGGAGAGCTGTTCCATCTCTCTGACTGTTTTTGTGGCCCTCTTCTGGACCTGCTCCAACAGGCCCATGTCTTCCCTGTGCTGAGGGCTCCAGAGCTGGACACAGGACTCCAGGTGGGGTCTCACCAGAGCAGAGCAGAGTAGAGGGGCAGAATCACCTCCCTCAACCTGCTGGCCACACTGCTTTGGATGCAGCCCAGGATACGGTTGGACATCCAGGCTGTGAGCACACATTGCCGCCTCATGTCCAGCTTTTCATCCACCAGTAACCCCAGGTCCTTCTCAGCAGGGCTGCTCTCCATCCCTTCATCCCCCAGTCTGTACTGATACCGGGGGTTGCCCCAAACCAGGTGCAGGATCCTGCACTTGGCCTTGTTGAACCTCATGAGGACTGTTCAATTATTGGTGAGGCTTGTGATTCAGGGGGGGTGCGTGTGTGTGTGTGAAGGTGTGCAATATATACAGGAAACAAAAATAAATTATTCCAAAAGTATAAATATACATGTAATTTTAAAGAATAAAAACACCAGTTACTTATTCCCTCCTTGCTTAAGTCTCCCAAATCCCCTAGCAGTTCAGATTTGTAAGTAATAAGCATTTCAGGCTTATCATGGTTTCTAAATACAGGCACATGATGACTCCTACATTCCACCTTCAGCTTAACAGGACACCGCACGCTTAATTCCTAGGTAAATACAACTGACCTCAATGTTCAAAGATTAATGCTTTCATCATGGCTGCTGGTTAACAGTAAAACAGGTCAGAATCCCACGTCAGAATCGAGCGCATTCCTCAAGCTTGTCCAGGTCCCTCTGGATGGCCTCCCGTCCCTCAGGCATGTCAACCGCACCACTCAGCTTGGTGTCATCTGCAAACTTGCTGAGGGTGCACTTGATCCCACTGTCAATATCACTGATGAAGATATTAGACAGTACTGGTCCCATATGGACCCCTGAGGGACACCACTTACCACTGATCTCCATCTGGACATTGAGCTGTTGTCCACTATCCTCTGGGTGCAACCATCCAACCAATTCCTCATCCACCCAACAGTCCACCCATCAAATCCATCTCTCTCCAATTTAGAGAGAAGGACGTTGTGGGGGACTGTGTCAAAGGCCTTCAGAAGTCTAGATAGATGACATAAGTAGCTCGTCCTTTTTCTACTCATGTGGTCACTCCATCATAGAAGGCCACTAGGCTGGTCAGGCAGGAGTTGCCCTTGGTGAAGTCAATCTGGCTGTCTCGAATCACTCCCCTGCCCTCCATGTGCCTTAGCATAGCTTCCAGGAGGATCTGTTCCATGATCTTCCCAGGCACATAGGTGAGGCTGATGGGTTGGTAATTCCCAGGGTCCTCCTTGCTACTTTTTTTAAAAATGGGTGCAATGTTTCCCTGTTTCCAATCTCCAGGGACTTCACCTGACTGCCAGGACTTTTCAAATATCATGGAGAGTGGCTTGGCAACTACATCAGCCGACTCCCTCGGGACGCTGGGATGCATCTCATCAGGTCCCATAGACTTGTGGATGTTCAGGTTCCTCAAGTGGTCATGAACCTGATCTTTTCTTACAGTGGGAGGGACTTTGCTCCTTCAGTTCCCATATTGCAGGCCAACCCCTCAAGAGGTGTGGGAAGAGACACTGCCAGTGAAGACCGAGGCAAAGAAGTCGTTCAGTACCTTAGCCTTCTCTTCATCCGTAGTTACCAGTTAGCCAGAAAAGGAAGGTCAAAGAAAACGTGCCCTCCTTGATGAGCAAGAGTGGCAAACGTACCTGTAGAAGCCCTTCTTATTATTCTTTGCATCCCGTGCCAAGTTCATCTCCAACCACACCTTGGTCTTCCTGACCTCATCCCTACACAACCAGGCAGCATCCCTGTGCTCTTCCCAGGATACCTGTCCCTCCTTCCACTGCCTGTGCATTTCCTTCTTGCCCTTTAGTTTGACCAGCAGGTCTCCACACAGCCACGCTGGTCTCTTGCCTTCACTTCCTGATTTCTTACACCTGGAGATCGAGGGCTCTGGCACTCTGTGGAAAGCATCCTGAAAGATCTGCCAGCTCTGCTCTGCTCCCTTGTCCCTGAGGGCAGTTTCCCAGGGGGTCCTATCAACTAACTCCCTGAAGAGCTGGAAGTTCAGGGTCCTGACTTTACTCTTTGCCTGCCCCATATCCCTCAGGACTGTGAACTCCACCAGTGCATGATCACTGCAGCCCAGGTTGCCTCCTGGGCATGTGGCTACTGTCTAGGTGAGCCTCTGGAAGAACTGGACACATTGTGAGTGAGCAGCAGATTATTTTTCCCTAGAATAACTGGGGAAGTCTTTTCAAATCTAAAATAGCTTTCATCTCCTGCATCATATTCATCATCAGGGTATGCTTTGGGGTGTTGTTTTTTTTTAAGCAGATGATTCAGTGTAAATAACTAGGATGCAAGATTGCAGGAAGAAGCATCAGGCTAATGACAGCCAAAGCAGCTTCTTCCTGGGAATGGTATGAAAAATATTACTAAGGAGCCAACGCTGCTCATTGGTACAGAATCCTAAACCAGCATTACCCCTTCTGACCCAAAAAGACAGCTGAATGTTTCGAGATCCTTCTGCTTTTTCCAGGGAGGAGAATCTAAGAAACGAATCAGATACTTCTTACTACATGAATGAGTATGTATCAATTACAGTAACAACTTCTCATCCCTAAATTCTATAGGGCTCAAATGAGAGTGGGGATTTCTATTCCACCCACACAAAGACACACATAAAATATCATTACCTAGCCTGGTTTTATGCAATCACAAATACCTGTTACTCAAGATAAATGCTGCCTGAATTAAAAGCCTTAAAAACAGCAGAGTGAAACAAGGTTTTACAACAAATCAGTCAGGCATCTGCTAAATACATTCCACTTAGTTGCAGTTGCCTATCCTTTAGGAGCCAAAGCTGCTTTCCCAACGTCAGCAGAGAGATCCATGCATCTCTAATGGGCACTTCACCCACCTAAAGTCTGGTACTCTCTCGAAGAGACACTCCTACCCTTGACATTTGCAGTAAATACCTGGCCTTCAGGGTACAGTTTTTGTTCAGCTTTGCAATGAGGATTTATACTACGGGTTACAGTCTCTACTGTTCCAGCTGTAAAGTAACTTTAACTACAACCTTCTTTTAGACAAACTGGAAATAATTTACTTGTTTACATGGTTGTTTAATAATACCCACTTCATCTTTTTTTACAAGATTTTGAACTCTAATGGTCGAGAAATCCTACAAATGGACATAGCAAGTGCAGGAATGAGTGTAAGAAAGCAGTCACATTTAGGTCAACAAGAACGTCTCATTCAAATGAGCCTGAGAATGTCGCTAGAAGCATACTTGCCAGCTGAACTACTGGATTATCATATTCTAACATGTAATTCCAATGGTATTTTTTTATGGAACAACTGTCAATTCTAAAAGCACAGCCAACATCCACATCCAACAATACACATCAAATTAAAGAGAAGCAGAGACAAGCCTCTGACATTGGCACAAGGGGAAAGCAGCCCTGCAGCACAGCATACACTCATCATTCCTCAGCATTAGCGTTCTCATGGCAATAGAGAGCCAGAGGCTTGTATCGCCCCAAGTGGCTACCTACCCCCGTTCCCCCATTCCCTGAGGAATGGAAAAGCCCTTTACATGCTGCTTTTCTTCCTCACAGCGTTATCATACTTGCCAGGATCTGTCAACTGGCATACCGAAGCAGCAAAGTAGTTTTGAAAACAAGGACAGTTGCAATGAAATATGTTTTTTTATATATATAAAACATACAAGTCATATTTTATATGTAAAGTTATATTGTTTTATACAAATATGTATTTATTTTGTTTTCTATAGGCCCTCTTCCACATTATCCTCAGGAACTTTTAAAAAGCCAACAATAACAGTCCACACCGCAATATATCCTCCCACTGTATAACATTTAAGAAGCTTTCACAGATGAAGCCAGATTGTGCATGTGTCTCCAATCACACATCTGACTCCAACTGTAAACCAAGGGCTTGATCTCAAAAGTAGCACCACTGAATACCATCAAGCCCTCAGTATCTGCACTCAGGATCACTCCCAGGACAATCACAGTGTACACAATAGTCTAAGCTTTAAAATGTGTAATAAATATCTTTCTGTGAAATTTTTGCCTCTTAATTAATGAAATATGCAACATCACCAATTAATTTTAAGCAAATAAAAATAACCTCAATAATTCTATTACCTCTGACATCGAGTGCCAGTTTACAGAGGTTTAGAGTCACACTTACTAACATGTTTTTCTTGTTACCAGAAGAAGTAGCTACAATGATAGGGAAGTAGTCTAGAAGTGCTGACAAATACCCAAAGCAAATAAAAGAGAAAAAATACGCAGAAAATAACATTTTTCCAGTATTGGGCAGTACAAGATTTTAAAATAAGTAAATCACTTGAAACATGTCTGTCCTTGTTTAATGGTAGAATATGAGAATTCTGGAGATTTTTGCCTTTAGATAAAGTTGTATTTATCTTTTCCCCCCATTAACATTTTTTCACTCTACACCAAAGATGGACTAAGTCTATGTAGGAAAACCCATTTAAAAACAAAAATTATCTCGTATAAAATATTAGAAGAGCATGATTTTGAAAAGCATCTGCACTTTTTGGTTACTTTTTCAGTTACTAACAATTAGTGTTGAATGCTGAGGAACCTCACTTGGACCCTAGAGGAAAAAAATTCTACAAAAAAGCTGAAAACAGCATACAACAAGGAACTGGAAGTTTTGTTTTATGAATACATCACAGAAGAAACAAAGCAGATCTGCACTGTAAATATTCAAGTTACAGTCAAACATAAAACCTCACTTTCTAAGATGCTCCTTCCTTCCTCCAACCCCTGGGCTGAACAGAAGTGCTCCTGTTACAATCACTGTTTAGTACCATTACTTTCACCTTACACTGTGTTTTATCAGGCTCAATGACTTCTGCTACTGGTCAGTTCTGACTAACCCATTTACAGCCAAATTCTTTTACATTAGCATGCTTTTGGTCACAATTAAGCTACTTTGGGCAATTATGTCAGACAGCTTGTTGCCCGCCTGTAAATAAGCCACAGCTGAAAGCTGTCTTTTGGTCCCATAAAGATAGCAGCTGAATGGACAAATGCAAAAATTAAGAGGATGTCAGTAGTGACACAGAGAGAGAGAAGGCAAGCGACTGAACACTGACTAAAAATTCACATGCGCAGAGAAGACAGTGAAGATAACAAGGATAGAGTGGGAAACAAACCACCCCAAAATAACAAAAAGGAAGAGACTGCAGAACAAGCAAAAGGAACTGTCAGCCAAAATTCCCATGACCCGCCCTGCCGGAAGGCTGTGATCCAGAACAACAGGATACACTGCTTAATTACTGTTGTTAAAATGTAGTATAATTATTTTTCTTTACAGTAGAACCGAATTATACACATACATACTACCCTAGATGTGAGGCAAACGTAGCAGCATGTGAGCACGCCACATTTCCAAACTGGAAAGAGCACAAGTCATCACCTTCTTCCTGTTCACCCAGACAGGAATTATGAACTTCTCTATGTGTAAAGACAAATGGGTGTGGAGCAACTGAAATACCACACGGACAATGCCTCTCTCACATCTACTCACAGCAGGATGCATTTTGAAAAGGCCCCAGTAGAACTCAAAATAAGGATATGGGTTTTCAGATACAGCTATAGAGTTTGGGGCAGAAAGCAGCAAATCAAATACTCTTCTCAGTTCTAGCTTACAGTCAACTTGCAGCAGAAGGGAAGTTCATCAGAACCAGCAGCTCTCGAACAAAGCTTGAGAGCAATGAAGTCAGGTCCTGGAGGAGTGAAATTCAGTGCATTACAGGCAGACCTTCTGCTCTCTGACTGCCTGTGAGGAAATCACCGCAGGATCATCTTGCAGGATAAAGCACACACTGAACAACTGCTTACATAATTCTAGGTGCTTATGCCACAGGCTTCAATCTTAATACTGATATAAGAAGGGAAGTACTTTAAAAAAAATCAGTAATTGTACAGTTAACCTGTTGCTCTCCTCTTCTGGGGTATCAGTTGACAATAATGAGGGAGGCTTATTGTAACAACTTTGAATTTACACTCAGACTACATTTCCTCAACATTATTTATTTCAGTCACTCTCCTTAGAATTACATATTACATATATACATGAGAATACATAATCTACAAATTAGAGTATCTTTAGCAAAAGTTAGTAACATCAAAGATGATGCACCAGCCCATAAGGGCTTGCTACAGTGAAGAGGCACTGCCTGTGTCCACATGGTGGGTTTATGGTATCCCATTTTTCACAAACAGGACCCTGTTAGAGACAATTAAGACCACATTAACGGTTATTGCCATTACGTGGCTAGTGGGGCAGCATGACCATCAGTACTGAAGCCTGGTGGACAAGTTGAGAGATTTGGTCAAAGTTTTGGCTCCAAAATAAGACCAAAGGCATTCACACTGTTTGTATCACAGCAGCGTTCTGTGTCTACGATGCTGGAACAGGCTGCACAAGGGAAGAGAAATGTAACAAACTCACAGAAATTGGTAAAAGCTGTAATTGTTACACATTTTAAGAAAAGAAGGAGATGAATTAAAGCCTCAGATTATTTTTCCACAACAACTAGAAGACTAAGTTCTGAAGAATCTCAAAATCTTCACCAATTCAAAATACCGCACAGTTACTACTTTATGTAAGCTTGACACCCTAAACAAAAGCTTCCTTACATTTGGAAGAAAAAGAGAGTATAAGTAGCTACTTTCCAGTTAGCAGCATATGATCTAGCAGCTATAGCTCAAACCTACATTTTCTGGGACTCCTCAGCCTTAAGGCAGATATCCATATGCTAAATAACACCGTTATACTTCGCATGTCTTGCTAGTTACCATCTCATTCTTGGTGCCAAGAAAAAAAACAACAGCCCACCCCAAGACAACAAAACCACCAGAATTAGCAGTCAAAGTCTGCACCTGAAAAACAGCTTTAAATATTCAGCTATGTTACAGTCAGTACCTGATGAACTTTTGCTTAGTTTTACTCACTTTTTCTTTAATGTACTTACAGAGAACTGTGCCCAACTCCAAAAGACTCTCAGGAGAAAGCAAACTGAATAACATCATTAAAAGCAGAGAGGAAAACTCAGATGCTTATATGAAAAAATAACTCGGGGAAAGA